CCACCCACGTTCCCTCCTTGTTCCCATTGTGGCCTCCCACAAGGGAGCAACTCTTAAGTAGAAGGCTTCCGCTTCAGGCACCTGCCCATTAGCCCAAGTTCTTTTCTCTACTCCTCTAGCACTCAAGTCTGCCTTAGGTGTAATCAATGGATATTATGCACCCAAACATCATGGATTCTTTTTGTGAATAGGAAAGAGTTAGAACTACCACAAAAAGAGGGGAAAGATGAAGTAGAGCCAAGTAATAAGAGTAAGAAAAAAGAAAGAACAAAAGAGAAAAGACATCAAGCAAAAAAGGAGACAGAAAACCAGATGAACAGGTCAGAGAGAAAAGAGAGGGCAGCAACATTGTCAGGGTATGGTTTAGAAATGTTAAATATTGGTCAATTGAATAGTCAATTAACCTCCTGAATTCTTATCAGTTACTCAACTATTCTATAGTCTCTGAATGACCATTTGCCTTGGGCTGTAAAGTTCCCCAAGTGGGCCCCCCAACCCATAAATGAGGTGTCCGTCATGATTGTGTGCATGGGGGGCGGATGCGGGAATGGGGTGCCTTCTAGCATGTTTTGAGGAATTGTCCACCAATGAAGGGAGTTGAGAATGCGTGGTGGAATAGCCACTATTTTGGAGAGTTGATCCCTGGAAGGCTTGTAGGTTGTCGCCAACCATGATCTTAGGCCCCTCATGTGGAGTCCGGCCAACTTGACAACATACGTCATAGAGGCCATACGTCCGAGAATTTTGAGACATTCACGGACCGTCATGGTAGGAACTGATCGTGCAGTCATGATAAGGTCGCGAATGGTGTTGAATCTTTGTTTGGGCAGCGTAGCTTTTGCTGCTACCATGTCGACGAAGGCCCCTATGAACTCCAGTTTCTGCACTGGAAGTAGGATAGATTTTGCATGGTTTATATGAAAGCCCAGGTTGATCAGAAGGTGCACTGATCAGAAGGTGTAGTGTCGGTCATGGCTTTGGTTTCCCGAAGGGACAACCCCTTTATGGAGGCAGTCGTCCAAGTATGGGAAAATCGTAACCCCTTGACGCCGAAGTGAGGACGTTACAACCATCAGGGTTTTGGAAAACACCCTGGGGGCAGTTGAGAGTCCAAAGGGAAGCACTTGGTACTGGTAATGTTGGGTGCCCACCATAAACCACAAGAAACGTCTGTGAGCAGGATGTGGAAGTAGGCATCCTGGAGGTAGAGAGCCAAAAGCCAATCCCCTTGATCCAGTATGGGGATGACTGTTGCTAAGGTTACCATATTGAAACGGTGGTAAACAATGTACTTGTTGAGTCTTCTTAAATCCAATATGGGTCGCCATCCTCCACTCTTGGTCTGGGTTAGGAAGTAGGTTGAATCCCCGACTTTGGAATTCTAGTGGTACTTGTTCTATGGCGCCCAGTTGTAGAAGGTGTTAAACCTGTTGGAGAAGGGTTTTGTGAGATAGGTCCCTGAAGAAGGATGGGGTAGGAGGCAGGGAAGTAAATGGGATAGCATAACCGTGTTGAATCAGTTCCAGGACCCATTTGTCTGATGTGATGAGGGACCATTGGTGGAAAAAGGTCCGGAGGGGGTGATGGAATTGAGAAAGGCTGATTGCAAGTGGTGGTGGAATGGTTTTCTAGCTCTCGACCTGTTTTTCAAACCTGCTGTTTGCTTGCAGGTGGGTGGGTTGTTGAGGTTGTTGGTGTTGGCGTTGAGGTCTACGATGCTGTGGTTTTTGCTTTTGACAGAAGTTGTATCTAGTCTGTTGTCTAAAGGGCTCCCTGGGCCGCTGGTAGGTCTGGTAACTTGTTCTCTTAAAGGGGGAAGTGTATATTCCCAGAGTCCTGAGGGTGGTACGGGAATCCTTCGTGGAATGCAACACTTGGTCTGTCTTGGCTGCAAATAGGTTGGTCTTATTGAATGGTAGATCCTCGACCTTCTGTTGTAAATCCCTTGGGACTCCTGAAGCCAGGAGATCCTTCGTAGAACAATTGCAGATGCCGTAATACGGGCCACGGTGTCTGCCACGTCCATAGCGGACTGTAGGGCGGTACAGGAGACGGTATGGCCCTCCTGCATAATGTTGAGTAGAGTTGGTCTCTTGTGTTCCAGGAGGTGTTGGAGCAGATCCTGTAGCTTGGAATAATTGGTATGGTCGTAGTCCACAAGCATCACCATATAATTTGCTGCTCTGAGGAGCAAGGTGGCGGAGGAGTAGACCTTGCGGCACATGATGTCAACTTTCTTCTGGTCTCTGTTCTGTGGAGTGGTTCTAAGGTTAGGTTGTCTTCCCTTATGCCGAACAGCGTCCACTACTAGTGAGTTTGGAGGAGGATGAGTAAAAAGAAAGTCCATGTCTTTGGGGCGATAAAATATTTACGGTCTGCCCTTTCATTTGTCAGGGTAGTGCAAGTAGAAGTCTGCCAGATGTTATCGGCAGGGTCCATAATAGCCTTATCCATGGGGAACGTTATTCTGGAGGTAGTGGGAGGTTGCAGTATGCATAGAAGCCGGTATTCTTTCACTTCCACCTCTTGAAGGTCTCGCTCCCACGCCAAGGCCACTCTTTTGAAAAGGTCTTGGAACTTTCTCGCATTGTCACCAGATGGTGGAGCTTCAGCTGTGACTGCCTCATCGGGCGATGATGATGAATTGTGTAAGGGGGATCTAGCCTCTTCTTCGGAGAGAGAGTCCTGTATCTCAGAGTGAACTGGAGAGTTTGGTTCAGTCACCGAAGCAGTGATAGGAGGCGAGGCTGGTGGTGGTCTAGAGATGGTTGAAGGGGCACGGTGATGGCTCTTCTTGGGACGTGGTTCCCATGGCTGTCATTGAGTGGTGTATGGAGGTGGTGGCTAGGCATACTGCTGGGCATACCATGGTGGTGAAGGAGGAGGGTATGTGTACTGTACTGTGCCAGGTTGCCAAGAAAGCGGGTCTGTGGGCCAGGCTGGAGTGTTGAGAAGAAAACCTGCTCCTTGATTCTGTGCCGATCTCACTGGGGGAGTGAGAAACACTGGAAAACCTACGGGAGCGCACCGACTGTATGGACGAACCCAATGAAATTGGTGCCGTTGTTGTATGACTTCGCACCGGCGATCGGTATCGGTCTCGTCCTTCTATCAGTGCCAAGCGGTGTGGCTTAGTTGGTGCCGAGGCATGTGATTTAGTTGGTGCCGAAGGCGGCATCGGTGCCAAAGGCGGCTCCGGATCCGAACAGTCTGGTGGAGGCATGTCGGTGCGGGGTTTCTTTGGCGTGGATACTGGTGCCAAACGATCTGGTGGAGGCTTGTCGGTGCATGGCTTCTTTGGCGCGGATAGCGGTGCCATTTTTGTATGGTGCTTCGGTGCCAATTGCTCGCTATGTTTGCTTGCCGGTGTGGCCAGTGCCGAAGGTGTATCCGGTGCCGTAGATTCTGGTGCCGCTGATCTCTGTTTTGGCTCTGAGTAGGCTCTCTTGTGCGGTGCAGACGTCTTAGGCGGTGCCGTACCAGATGTCCCGGTCTATCCTTGACATCGGCAGTCAGTGCAAAGGGTAGCGAGCAAGTTAGAGAATGGCCCGTTTTCTATGCCGCGGGGCTGGAGTGGGTAGAGGGACGATCTTTATCCATACCCTTACTCTGTGAGGCTGGTTTTGGAGCTGTGGGAGAGTTCTCTGAAGATGGACGAAGGGACTTCTCATAGAAAAGTGTCTTGAGTCACAACGCGCTCTCAGGGTGAGGTTAGAGCAATGGGGGCACTTTTGTGTCTGATGTGACTCCCCGAGACACTTTATGCACAGTTTTCAAAAGTTTTTCATTGCGGCTCACTGCTTTCCCCCCCAGTGCCTCATGCCCAGTTCTCCAGGCTTTAAGAGGTGAGAGTCTTGCTGTGATGCTATGCCCATTTCTGTCCTTAATAAAGGACAGTGCTATGTATACATGCTATCTGATATGTTATACTATTTTCTCTCTCCTTTCCCTCCTAGCTTCATTTCTAATTCTTTTCCCTTCTGTGCTACAGATTCTACTCTATTCCAACTTTTAAGTCAACTTTCATAAAGTTGGTATCATAACTGAATGTTGCATGTAGATCCCTCTTCAGCTAGGTGGGGCTGCTTATTTAGCTATACAGACTTTACATTCAAAAAGCATAATGCTCTTAGCAACTAAGTTCATGCTCTCCTCAATGTTCTCATCCCTGGATGACTCAAGGAGTCATAGACCAAATTGGTTTTAAAATTTGATGTGTTGCCAGTAGATCAGCCTCCCTTCTGTCTGCCTCTCCTCCTCCCCCTCTCTCCTCCCCACTTTTCTCCACTTCCTTGACTCTTTTTATCTATTTGCTTCTTCACACTCAGATAGAGACAGCTCTTTCTATCTTCCTTCCCTTAAAGATACTATTGCTTTTTTTTTTTTCCAGACACTGGCAGAGGCAGAATGCTGTTCAGTTTTACCCTACAGTTCTTAGGCTATAGTGGAAGTAATAGATTTATGCCTGTACTGCTGCTATAGATATCTGGCTGGATGTCTAAAAGAGAAACTGCCTCCATCCACACTCCAAAATGAAACCATGGTCATTTGGATCACAGCATATCCAAGTACTTTTGTGAATCAGAGGGTCAATTACAAAGTTATGCATATGCTACAGCAAAACTAAATGCATTTTGTTTTACCATGCTTAGGTTTATATATTGAATATCACTGTAATCTAGACATCTGAAAGTTTTCAGAACATTTTGTTTCTTTGAGCAATATATTGATGTGTAAAAGGGAAGTCAAATCCCCCGGAGCCATTGATTCCCCTATGAGGGGCACGTACAATATACATACATTGCTAATGCTTAGATATATTTGCTATTTGTATAGGAGTAAGACATGACAAAGGTCAAGGCCTGTCACAGGTAATAACTTATAATAAGGAGACGAGGGGAAGTGAAACCAGTCTTCTGTTAAGTAGAGATATGGATAGATTCCACATCCTTTAAACTTGTGACCGGCTCAAGCGTAGACGCAGCCAGAATGGTTGTCGCTAGGGAAGGACCTGCCCATCTGATGGAAGGGATTTCTGCAGATGAAAAGATGGGCATTGCTGCTTCAGGAGCCTGTGAACTGGCCCCTGTATTCAGGAGCCTGGGATTAAATATCCTGGTCCTGTTATAATTTAACATGGTGGGTACTAGTGTCAGATCTGTTTCCTAAAGCAGCCCCCATGCCAGCTGCCCCCTGTGGAACTCCAGGGGGTGGGCTTTCGGTTGCACCCTTGAGGCTGCTGTGCATACACCTCCTTTCATTTCTATGCCTTTGATCAGTGCTGCCCTCCATGACTGACTCATTAATTCCATGTGCAAGAGTTTGGCTTTGAATGGCTTTCCTTCCTTTGCTGACAGGGGCAAAGTTGCGTTCATCACTGGAGGTGGTTCTGGGATTGGATTCCGTGTAGCGGAAGTTTTCATGAGGTATGGATCTCTGATCTTCCTTGACAGTTTTGTTCTCAGCTAACCCCTGGTCTGCTTGCTTTACTTTCATGTTCCCCAGCTCCCTCTTTTTGCTGAGCCAGCCCAGAGAAAATAGGGATTTCCATCTGTATAACTTTTGTCTGATTCCTGAGCTAGCCCTTTGGAAAAGCCTACCTTTAATTTTTGTAAATGTCCTCTCTCAATAGCTTGTGGCATGATCTTGTGATTTCCACTGCAGCTTTTCATGTTCAAACAGTTAGTGCTCATTTACTTTCATAGCAAATATTATCTGAAAAACAAAGTAAAATCACTCCAGGATATCTGTGCTGTATCCTTTGTGTATTTGGACATGGATAGCCGGTCCAGAGAGGAGCCATTCCATTAGCAAGATGGATGATTGAAGGAATGCTTGTGTTCCATTCCTGTCTTTCAGATCCTGGTCCTTAGATTGTATTAAATGCCGAGAGAGACTTCCCTGGTCATGTTAAACATCTAGCATATTTAAGTCTTTCCTTTTGTGCACTGAACGTACTGTTGATGATAAATTAAATTCTAACAAATGTCTGCCATTGTTGGCCATTCCTCTCCTAGCATTCGGGACAAGTTACTATAATCTGATCGTTCTCCAGAATAATTGAGTAATAGTACCTTTACTCTTGGTAGCCCTTGTAACAGTCTCATTACTTGGGTAGAATTGAACATGAGCATGCTATGAATTGAACACTGAATTCACTTCCATGCTGACTCGGTCAGCCTCTCTTTTCTACAAGTTCTGGTTGTACTCTTTTCAGATGATGAATCCCCATATGCATAGTTACTGACACACAGATTTTAGGCCAGAAGGAGGCATTCTGATCATGTCGTTTGACCTGCATAACACAGGCCGGACAACCTCACCCAGTGATTCCTGCATCTCACCTGTAACTTCTGTGTGAGCTAGACTAGATCTTTCAGAAAGAAAGAGGGAGCCAACGTACCTTTGCAGGTGCCCATTGTGGGGCAGGCACATCAAGCACTATAGAAAAGAGAAGTGAGTTTAAACTGTCTCCTGCCCCTGAACACATGG